AACTGCAGTCTGAGATTGCGATACTGACTGGTATAATAATAAAATAGAATAAACAAGTTATACTGTATAGACACAGGAAAGTATATTCAGTATCTTGTAGTAGCTCATGGTGAAAAAGAATGTGAGAATGAATATATGTGTGTCCATGTATGTCTGAGGAATTGTGCTGTACACCAGGGGTTGACACAACATTGTAAACTGACTATAACTCAATTAAAAAAAAAAGACCCCTGCCATAAAGCACAAAACCCCCAGTGTTGTCTGTTTCCCGTGCCATAAAAGAGCTCTCTCTCTCTCCTGTTGCTAGACTGTTAGATGTTGGTACCAACTACGGTTTGAGTGCAGTTTTGCTTCTCTGGAGACCATACAAGTCATCATAAGAATCAGATCCTATTCTAAACGGGAACCTTGGTGTTCGAGATTTAAGTTCTCCTTAATACTCTGAGGAGCGTTGTGCTGAGATCCTCATTTACTCTTTTCTTCCATGAACAGAGATCTTCATGAACAGAGCCTACACTTTATCCTGATGTATCGTCTGGTAGTTAGGAAGCCAGTGTGTCTGCTCATTTCTGCTGCAGTTTAAGTTCTCATTTCATCTCCCTGTCTCCCTGGTCTCCCTGCTCAGTTAGTCCAGCATGGCCTCAGTTGTATCTCTTCCATAGGTACAAGAATCACGTCCTAAGCACTGATACCCCAGGAACTGGAAACTAGAGTAGAAACCCCCCTAGTCCTACCCCATTCATATACTGTGAAATGATGCTAAAATGAAAATGGTAAAGGTCTAGGAAACCCTGCTTTGTGGCTTAATGTAACCCACGTGCAGATCATTCCACATCCTTTATCTCAGTCCCTAAATCAGTTTCTCTATAGTCCTGACTTTCTTATTCTACCACCATTTACCTACCACCTCATTAAGTCTCATTCACATCAGCTTACCTCACCCCATCCTGAAGCATAGTGTATGTGCCTGCTTTTCCCTGCCTGTGTCTTAATTCAGACCTGTAAGTGGGTAAACTCTGTACTTCTCCTTCTGTCCATCTCCTTCTGTTTCTTTGTGTGTGTGTCTCACTTTTTAAAGTCCTACTTTTTTTGAGTTTTCTAAAATGTATGTATTTTAATACAGTTCTGTTCCCTTTTCTCCCTTAGTCTTCCCATCTGCCTTCTCCTTCCATCCATATCTAGAAACAGACAGCAAGAGTGGTAGGAAAATAAAGAGATAAGTAAAGAGAATAACCATTTGGGACTGAAAAAATTTTTTAATAAAATGTTCAGGTGAATAGTCCTAAATCCCAACCTTTGTGTCCTTGCTTCTGGGTCATGAGGGTCAGTGGGTCCGTTGCTGGTATTGACTGATCTCCTGCAGGGAGTACAGGTTAGGCCTTATAGATTGGAAACAGGGGAACATTATTTGGTACAGAGATCTTAGAAACTTATTCTTGTGGTTATTTGTGATCATAATTCCAAACTAAAAACCTTATGCAGGTTAACTTTCGGTGTCTCTGAAGCACTTACAGTAGCTGCTAGTATTATGCCAGCACCACCCCACTGCGTATAGCTCCTTTCCTCTTTATCTCTTTCTTCCTCTTCCTACTGCCTTTTTCTTTCTTCCTTCTTTTCTCTTTCTCCCTGTCTCTCAGCACTGCTGGCTCTCCAGACTCAAGTTGTTGAGCCCCAGAATACTTACTTAGATTCTCAAATGGTACGTAACAGTGCAGGGATGAAGGAAGTAACCACACACAGACACACACACACACACCCCTCTGTGCTTAGTCTAAAGCTTTTCTTTTTGAAGAAAAACTGAGAAAAGGAAAGTACCCTTAGCTCTGTAGCAGGAAGCATTTGCCCCAGGTCTGCTGACTAAATGATGCTCTCTCCCTTCTTGGCAGGTCTGTGCTGTTAGAGCAGGCCTCCATATCATGTATCAGTGCCACATGTGAAGCCAAGGGCTGAGCCTAAGGATTAAAGGGCCAGTAGCTGGACCTTTTGTCCAGTTAAAGTAGAGTGGACCTCTTGAAAAGGAGTCCTCTGGTCCTCTCCCCTCAGGAGAGGATCCAAGAGCCAGTAATCTAGCCCAGAAGTCACCACTGGGTGGCAGTCACACCCCTCAGGGCCAGTCTTTGGCTTCCCCATGTTTTTTCAGAAGTTCCCCAGCTCTAGAGTTTGAGACTCTCTACAGAGAAAACTGTAGCTAAGGGTAGTGATGGAATAACTTAAAAATAGCATTGAGGCGGAGAGGATAATAGCTCAGTGACAGAGCACGTGCTTCGCATGCACGGGGTCCTGGGTTCAATCCTAAGTACCTTCATTAAAAAAAAAGTTTATTGTGCTGAACACTGGAATTTGACACAACATTGTAAAATGATTATAAATCAATAAAAAATGTTAAAAAAATAACTCAGAAAAGAAAGTTTAGAAAACTAAAATAAAAATAGCACTGAGATGCCTTCCTTTGCTGCTACCCTTGCTGAGTCAGGAGAGGCCTAATAGAGGAGCATCATTTCTTCTCTATTCACTTTTTACTCAAAACTCACAAATGTGAGAAAAACAGGCCAAGTTGTTTTATCACTTCACTGTCCCTAAAGGCCTCCCGCACCCGGCCCAGTGACTGTGCGGCCCGAAGTATGACAGGCCCTCCTCCAAGAGAAGAAGAGGATCAGGATAATAGAAAATGGGTCCATAAGCTACCGGCACAAGCAGTTCACGCCGAGCGGCTTGGCCAGCAGTTATATTTGGAACGCCACCGGCGTACAGGAGACAGGGGTGCCAGGAGAGCCGGGAGCTTGTTGTCAAGGCTGTGACAGCATCTCTTCCAGGTCATGCAGTGGATGCTCAGTAACTTTTTCCTAGCCAAGATGACTTGGGTTTTATTTAATGCAAATATCAGGAGTGTTCTCCATTTTGGGTGTCTTCTGACTCCTGGACTCTCTGGCTCCAGAACTGTTAGTCTCCTCTGTGAAGGGGTCTGCCAGGAGGTGTATAGCAAGAGAGGCTATTGCTACCTTAGTCCCCTACAACTCTGAAAACTCTAAATTTGGAAGGAGGAAGGAGAATTACACAAACAAACAGATGTTAATGTAATTATGTTTGACTTCTTCCTTCACCTCCTCCCTGCTGCTAGAGTGGAGTGGAAAGAACGTATACCAAGCAGAACTAGGCTCCCATCCATGCTCCACCACGTCAGCCGTGTGATCCTAGATGTGATTTAATTTCTTTGTGCTTTACTATCTTAACTGCAAATACAAGTTATCTGATTTCCCTGCAGGATTATTGTGAGGCTATAATGAGATGATGTGTATAAATGAGAGAATGTGTGTCATTGTTATTTTCCCCCTCTCCTTCTAGCCTCTCTCCTTTCTCCTTCCCCTACTGCCACCGGGGAGAACCGATGAGGTGACTGAAATGGCTGGAGGGGAAGAAGAGAGAAAAAAATAGCTCCCCGTTAGCTGGTTTAGAATCTACCATGTTCCTAATAAACAAGCCCTCCCGCTCGAGGCTAGTGAGGGGACCGAAGGAACAGAAGCTACAATTAGGCTATTAATATTTTTTTATTCCTAAATTCCTCCGTTTGCTTATGGGGGCATTTTTCATACTGCCCTCACAGCCTGGAGGAGCACAGAGCAATCACAGAGCAGGAGGAAGTAGCTGGAACCGGGCGTGAATGGGCAGTTTTTCCCTTCTGTGCCCTCTGGAGGGAGATGATCCTTGTGAATGAGCACTTCCTCCAGGAGAGCTGTGGTGTGAAATCAGGAGCACGCCCGGGAGAGCCGAGCCAGACCTTGGATGACCCTTCCTACAGAAGCAGGAATCCCTTCTTAAGTGGGCATTCAAGGAGGGTTATGCTCCCCAGGAATCATGTATTCACGAAAAATGCTTGGGGAAAAAGCTGTTCTGAATCAGGCAACAGACCCTGGCTGTCAGAGTCCTGAAGTTGCTCACAACAGCTGCAGAGTCCTGAGTGCCTAATGGGGTGGAGTGTGCAGTGGGTCTGTCCTGGCAGCAGAGATGGCCTGTCTGTCAGAGATGTGAAAGCCACGAGCTGTCCTGGGCTTGCTCTCCAGCCTGCTCAAGCAGCCTGACTATTCATGTGAAATTTCTTTTATGATTAACCTTGTTGTTCCTTCCCTTTCCCTCCCCATCTCTCCCACCCCCTCCTTGTGCCTCCCTTTTCTCCTCCCTTTCTACATGTCTCTGTGCTGGTCCACAGCCAGTCCCGGCTCTGCAGCCCTCTCCGCAGCCTGTTCCGTTCTCTCCAGGCTCCTGTCCCCAAGTCCTTCTGCCAGTCTCTCCGCCCCAGCAGTACAACATGGTATAAACCCTGTTCCCCCGTTTTGTCTTGTCCGTGTGTGGCCTGTATCTGTGGGTATGTCTGGGTCAGTCTGTGACAGCCTTGCAAAGCAGCTGTGCTTTTTGGAGGACCATTGTTAAAAGGTATTTCTTCTTGAGGGGCCAGCACAGGCTGACCTACACTTCATTCTAGTGACCTCATCACAGCACTTCAGGCACCAAAAGATGCTTAAATGTAAGACAGAGAAGAATGCTGAATTCCCCTGTTTCAGGAGGGGGAGCAAAATCGGATGTTGATCTGAATTGGACTCTTCATCTCCCTACCATGTGCATCCTTCAACTCACCTGTTCCCTAGACATGTCTGAGGAACCCAGTTTATTCTGTATAGAATGATTGTCTATAATTTCCCTTAAAAATAAAAACACAATTACAGATTTCTTTGATAGCACTGGTAAAAACTTAAAATGTACCCTTATTTTACCATATTATTTTACATAAAAATATCCTCTTCTGTTGCATAGCACATGCTGTTTAAATTGTCTGTACCCTAACTACAAATCCTTTGAAGATCTGAATTGTCTTATGTTGATCATTTCTATCATGATTATAGGAGCCCTGATTTTTAAAAAATACTGTGTTAATCACACCTGTCTGCTTTTTCACTAGAATCTACTCTTTTCTCCCACCTCTTATCTCCATTCTGAAAAATCTCAGAATATGAACTTCAGAATAATTTGCAATCCAGTCCTTTGTCATCTATTCCTGCCTACTAAGGTAGCAGAATAGCTAAGATCAGATCCCTGAAAATTGAGTGAAACCACAGGAAAGTATTGTCTTTTGTTCCTACTAGTTTCTTTTGCAAAAGAACTTCTGCTCTACATGTGTCTGTGTCTGTGTATGTTGATTACTGTCCAGGGAGCAGAAAGGTTGAGGAAGTTAACAAACTAACCTATCACCATACAAGTGAGAGATGGAACACCATCACTCTTGCTGCTTAGAGGAGAGGGCTGAGAGAGAAGGCAATTACAGACTAGCCCGTCTTGCCCTCCATCTCAGCCACCCACCCTGGCCTCCTTTCAGAGGTGAGAATTGGAAGTGGTTTCTGAAGGGCAGGAGAATTCTAGGCAAGTGTCAGAGAACAGAGGTGGAAATGACCTCAAGAGGGAGTAAGGAGATAAGCAGCAGGAGTTGGGAACCCACCAGTCTTTCCACTGCATGGCAGAGCTGGGAGCCACATGGGCCCACCCGTAATCCACACAAGGTGTTATCTAGGTCCTTTATTATAAAAACAAGATTCATGGCAATGTAAGGACCCTGTATATGGTTGGAGGCATGTGGAAGACGGGAAATGGAAAGATTTGTAGTCTTTTTTTATTTTCCTGCTGGTTTGTCCAATTTTTTCTGTATATGAAAGTCATGTCATTGCTCCCATCTCCCCAAGGTTAATTCTAGTAAAATGATAACCAGAGTGGCCACTGTTACCTCATATGTGGTAGAGATACTGGCTCTAGAGTTGGGCTTCAAACAGCGCTTCAGTTCATAGAAATTTTAAACACCATATGACAGAGGCTTAGGGCTAAAAAGCACCTCCCAGGGCACTGAGGCAGGAGGAGTGTCCCAAATTGGTATAAGGAAGGAAGGCTGTAGAGAAGGTTACCATTTATGTCTATGTTGAAGCCAAAGACATGGGGCTTGACCACCTCAGTCCTTGAGTCTCCCCACTCTCTCCATAGGCAGATGACCTCAGCAACCCCTTCGGACAAATGAGCCTTAGCCGCCAAGGTTCTGCTGAAGCAGCTGACCCATCCTCAGCTCTGTTCCAGCCCCCACTTATCTCCCAGCACCCTCAGCAGACTGGCTTCATCATGGCTTCTACGGGGCAGCCCCTCCCCACTTCCAGCTATTCCACTTCTAGCCATGCACCACCTACTCAGCCAGTCCTGCCGCCCCAGGGCTACATGCAGCCCCCTCAGCAGGTGAGTGGCTCGGGGTCCCTGCTTAAGTCACTGATCGGTTTGGCCAGTATTAATCCTCCTTTCTTCCTCTGGTTTGTCTAAACCAGAGGACATACCTGTCCCCCATCTCCATTTCCCCACCTTGTACTTGAGAATTGACTTTCTAGTCAGAAAGTTTTCTTTCTACATAATACAGCTCCTTCCCATTCTGTTTCAAACTTGTATACTAATGCTACAGTTGCAGGCCCAGAATGTCTCCCTTTTTAGATTCCTGGCAGTCGGCTCTGATGTGTTTAATAGTTTGGGGATGCTGGGGCTGAATTTGAGGGACTTTCTCATACGCCTTTTTCCTCCCACCACAGATCCAGGTTTCTTACTACCCCCCCGGACAGTACCCTAACTCCAACCAGCAATATCGACCTCTCTCTCACCCGGTGGCCTACAGCCCCCAGCGCAGTCAACAGCTGCCTCAGCCATCCCAGCAGCCTGGTAAGAGGAACTGTGTAGGGAAGAAGGCAGTGAATAAGGGAGGGGCGGAGACTGGAAGACAGAGAATTACTGTCCCTGTTTTTAAAAAATTAAAAGGCAGAAATGATGAGGGTCCTAAAGAGGAACGCATGATCTCCAGAAAAAGAAAGGGTAAAATAGACAGGAGGAGAATTACTGAAAGAGTGTGACCTCCTGAACGTTGCTGAGACTACGCTGATGTCTTCTCTGCCTTGCCCATCCCCAGGTTTACAGCCCATGATGCCTAACCAGCAGCAGGCGGCTTACCAAGGCATGATTGGGGTCCAGCAGCCACAGAACCAGGGCCTGCTCAGCAACCAGAGGAGCGGCATGGGGGGCCAGATGCAAGGCCTGGTGGTTCAGTACACTCCACTGCCTTCTTACCAAGTGGGTGCATTCTGCATTGGGCAAGTTCACCCAGTCCCTGGGATGAGGAAAAGGACAGTCCCATGTCATCCAGTCTGACAACTCCAGCACTGAAACATTATTCACTTTTACCCCTAGAATTTTTAGACTCCCTTCCTCTGAGAGAAAGCCCAGTGAGTCTGAGAAGAGTATTTATTTAAGTTGTTTGGTCTTTGTACAGCCATACAAATGAGTATGTGCTCAGAAAAGTAGGATCTAAAAGAAATCAGACTTCTTCCTCTTCATCAGATGCCCAAAGGTGATGTTTAGAAGAAGCGGGGAATGGAGGGAGCTCTGTAAGCATTTCCTTTAGGCAGGTGAGGCGAATAGGAGGAGTCTCTAGAGGTAGGGAAGGAGGTTACAGTGTCCTGGTTTAGTGGCTGTTCTCTGGATGAACTCATTAGGAATGTGAATGGTCATTCTCTTCCCATCTCCACCCAGGTCCCAGTGGGTAATGATTCGCAAAACGTGGTCCAGCCGCCTTTCCAGCAACCCATGCTGGTCCCTGCGAGCCAGTCTGTACAAGGGGGGCTCCCAGCAGGGGGCGTACCAGTGTACTACAGCATGATCCCGCCCGCTCAGCAGAATGGTACGAGGTGAGGACTCCCGGGGAGTCGGGGCACATCTCTCAGTTTAGCAATTGTTGCACCATGGTTTTGTTTCCACTGGCCTAAGGAAAGAAAGGCAGGGGTAAAGATGCCAGGGATACCCTAAAGCAGGTAGAATATGAGAGAGTTCATTTTCCTTTTCTCCTTGTTGAATTGATATTTACATAAGAATTCATCAGCAGGAAAAAAATTCCTGCTTCAGAGACAGCAGCTTTATATTTTCCCTCATTTTTTGTTTTTCTAATCAGTGGGATTCAGAACTGTGGGATGGAGACTGCTTATCATTAAAAGGAGCAATTAGGAGTACATATATGTAAAAGTTTTCTGTGTGCCTCTATATCCATGGATGAATCTGAGATGGTCTATTTCTATATGTCTGTTTATATATGTATCTTAGTATAGGTCATAGTTAATAGAATTTTAGAGGTAAAACATTACCTTAGAAATATCTAGTCTACTCCTTTTGTTTTATTTTCCTCCCGTGTTTTATAAATGAGGATATTCCAGTTAGGGATGTTAAGAAACACACCCAAAGTCACACAACTGGTCAGTAGAAGCAGGGTGGGAACTAGAACTCCAGTCTGAGCCTTCCTAAATGCATTTCTGTGTCTCCCGCTCGGTGTGCATTCACTTATTTCTGCCTTTTTATGTGTATAAATCTGTGTGGTCTTGAGTTTTGTGGGATTTTCCCCCATTTGTCTTCAGGTGACTGTCTGTGTTTACCATTGTGAAAATATCCTAAATCTCCTTAGTTATTTTCTCTCTCTCTCTCTCTCTCTAGCACTGTAGTCCTGTGTGCCCGTCTCTGGCACTCTCTTTGTGTTTCTGTTGTGTTTCTCAGAACGTGTATGTGTGTGTGCATGTGTATGTGTCTGGTGTTTCTACACTGTTGGGAGGAGCATGTGTCACTAACATTCCATCTGTAGCACTGATTAGCAGCTTCCTAATTGAAAGATGATCAAGTACAAATATATATAATTAACTTTGAACTGATGAGTGAGTTTAGAAATTGCATGGCAAATTGGTCTGGGAATGGGTTGGAGCTGCCTCTGCTTCCCACAGGGGAAGCCCAGGAAGCAACAGCTGTCTGCCAGGAGCTGTGTCCCTCCCTCTGCTGCTTTACCACTCATCTCTTCTCCATCTCCCCAGCCCTTCTGTGGGGTTTCTGCAGCCTCCTGGTTCTGAGCAGTACCAGATGCCTCAGTCTCCCTCTCCCTGCAGTCCACCACAGATGCCACAACAGTACTCAGGTAAGAGGATAAAGAATTGAGGGGTCTTGGGCACTGGTGAGAGCAAACACCACTAAAGGACTTGTGCTCTAGAGCTGGGAAGGGCAGGGAGAGTTCAGGGACTGGCTCTGTCCCCAGCTGTGACCCCATCGCAGGGAAAGACCAAACTCCTGGCTGGCTGGTATTTTCCAGAGATGCCGAAGTTGACCTCTCAAGAAGGTGAGGTTGGTTGCCCCATCCCCATTCCCAGGGAGCCACATCTCAGTTGGAGCGCTCTCTCTCTCTCTCTCTCTTTTTTTTTCCGTCTGAATCTAGCATTACACTCACCCTTCACATGCCTTTGAGACACGAAATGGTTACCTCTGTCTCCTGCACTCATTCTTGCTGTAAACAGGCTCTTTTCTCTTGGGAGTGTGAGGGAGGCTGATAAAAATGCTTTTTAAATTGTATCTTAGATTTTTTTTTTAGCAGTTTTTCATATGTGCTCACGTACATTATGTCATTTTCATTCTTACCACAACTTCATAAAGAGGAAATTTAAGTCCCATAGAGGATAAATGATGAGCCTCAGTCCACAATCGTAGAGCTTGAACTTGCATCTTCACTTTCAGTAACCCATGCTGTATCCTCAGTAACATTTTCAACAGGTTTCTGTACTCTATTCCTTTCCCTCCAGTGGGAAATAAATGGATACCATGTTAAATAGCTAAGGGCCTTCTTTGGAGGGGCCAGCTATCGCAGGAGAAAAGGCTTATGCCATGCGGCCTCTCACTGTCTGCTTTTTTCCCCTTTGCCAAGAATTCCCCCGATTCACCAAGTACAGCATCTGTCGTTTGGTTCCCTTTACCCTACCCTGAAATATCGTTACACTGCCGTTAAAGAAACTTCAGAGGTACTGGAGGGGAGGAGGTCTTAATGTAGCCTCCAGTCATCCCCGGTCAGCTCTGTTGTGGGAATGTCAGGGTGCCCTCTTCTGGTAAGAAGAAAGTATTTTACCAATTTTCCATTTTAGAAATGGAGTGTTTTTGACATGAGATTTTTTGCACTCTATGTTAGATGCTGTGGAGGGGATTCCAGATTTAATCTTGCTCATAAGACATGATCAGTTTTTACCTTTGAGGAGCAATGGCTTCTGCCTTTATCCAGACCAACCATGGATCTCTCTCACAGGCTGAGAGATTTTAAAATTCAACAGCCTTTACCCTTTATTGCATTATTGGTCTGTCTAGCTGTTTCTCCTAGTGTCCGCCAGGGGCACTTGACCTTGAAATTCCCAGTGGGGTATGGAAATTGTAAAAAATCAGCTGCAAGAACTGCTGTAGCCTGTGGTGGTGCTTGGTACCGCAGGGCATTTTCTCTTCTGTTTGCTAAAATAAGTGTGTGCAGGTGTGTATAGGTATACTTGTATGTGAATTTGTGTGTGTGTCCTTTGTGGTATATCAGTATGTCTATGGGGTCTTTGCAGTTATGTCTCTTCATCTGCAAATACGAGGTCTTTAAATTAGAAACAAACCTAAATGAAAATAATTTTCGTTACCTACTCAGGACCTAGTGCTGGGTTACATAAACTGAAGCAGCTGTTATTCTGAAAGTTGGCAGCACTACTAGAGATCTGGGCTGGGGTTGGAAGGAGATAATCCAGGCTTTTCCCAAATCGATAGAAATAGACCAAGACCTCTTCATCATCTAGTGTCCTTGCTTCTCTGAATGTTCTGTTGTGTCTTCTTTCTTTCTGGCCGCCCTGATTGACCCCAGGCTTCTGACTGACACGTGGTGCTCTTCCTAGATGACGGGACCCTCTGTTCCATTTACATTGTCTAAGAGACCATATTCACCGCACCACTGATCTTAAAGGTCTGCAATCCCTGCTTGTGGGATTTTAAGAGGAAGTGGAATAAAAGAAAAAGTATTTCTTCTGCCTTCCTTCCCAGTTTGCCCTTTACTGGAAAGACAGAAGGCCAGCATAGCCCACGAGGGCTGCTGTGTCACCTTCAGGGGACAGTCACCCGCCCTTCTCCCATGCAGCAACATGGTCACTTTTCCAAAAATAAAGGCAGGGATTAAGATTGGCTGTTCCTGGAACAACTGTTCTGGTTTATTAATACATTTTTGTAGTTGGCCAGTTTACCCCCAGGCCTGGCCCTCAATTCTTCCACTATGATGCTGGATACAACCATAACCCCAGGAAGCACTTCTCTTCCCACTAGAATAGTGGCTTGCCAGGTCCCTTGAGGTTTCTACAGGCATGCTTGTCTGGGGCAGATGCACACAGACATGAAATGGCAGTGAAACCTATGCACAGACTCAACTCGCAGTGACACAGCAGTGCAGCCTGAGTGAGGGATATACAGAAATAGCTTCTCACATAGTTACTGGCTTATTTTGTAGCTGAGGGGTTTCCAAAGCTGAGACTATCTCTTTTCTCGCCCCACTCCCCAGAGATATCCCTCTCCCCCGCCAAAAAAGGGGGAAAGACCAAGACACTATAGGATTCTATCCGGTAATTTGGAAAAGATGCCTGTGGGGTTTTATTTCTCTGGACCTTCCTTTTCATAGGTTTGATTCCAAATGGGAGGAAGAAACCTTATCAGGCTTCTACCTCAGTGATTTGAAAAAAAAAAAAACCAACTAAACAAAAACCAATTCTGCCAGACATAAATGTCATCTGTTTGTATTTATGCAGTTTGCTCTGCCCATTCGACCTTTCTGCCCAGGTTTAATGATGCCACTTAAAAAGCCATTCACATGTCCCCTCTCCTTTCAGAGCTCTCAAGCTGAAATTGATTTCCTTATTCAACTCCCTTCTCCCCCTTCCCACTCCAACCTAGGCTCCTTCCCCCAACCTGATTATATGGAAGTGTTGTCAGTGAGCGTGGACTTTTTGGTGTTTGGGGGAGGGGGGTTGGCCACGTCCATTAAGAAGTAGCCACAGTTTTAAAAAAAAATGTAGCCACAGTTCAGCTGCTAATGGATGCCACCTGCTTCTGGTTTGAGGAAGAGAAGCATAAAAATCAGCTCATCAGCAGCGTAGTGCACTGTGTCCTCGGCTGAGTGAAGGAACAACGCTCCAGGCTGGCGGGGGAGGACTCAGTGTCGGGAGGCGCTCAGGAGCGAGGCTGTGACTGAGAACCCTGGCTTTGTTTTTGTTGGGATCAAAGGAAATAATGTGAGGACTTTGTTCTCTCCCCCCTCCCCTTGAGCCCTGTAATAGCTCCTTATGGCTACAAGCTGGTATTAGAAAGAGCTTCTACCGCCTTGCTTATGCCCAGACCCTACACACTCACACATCCTCGACCCTTTCCTGGCCTAGGGCATTAGGTTCAGGTTATAAGCTGCCTTCCAGAAAAGCTGTAGATTGGATTATTTTTGTGTTGGCCCCTTCAGGTAGCAGTTGAGGGGAGGAGCAGTGAACAAGGTCTGTTGCAGTTCTGTGGGTAGAGGATGTTGGAGCAGGTGGGGCTCTTAGGATGGGGAAATAAAATGCCCACAGCAGCTATAGTAAAGAGGGCGTTGTTAACTACATGACACTTCACCGATGTGCAATTTTCCTGTGGCCCTTTTACAAGCCATGCTGATGAGTACTGTGTCCCCCTGGGCAGGGGGAGGGGAGATGTGAACCTGTCGAGCCTGTCACTCTGAGTATTTGTGCTCTCTGATTAGATGAACCGTAGAGGATGGGGGGCACAAGTTGACTGGGGAATAGGATACAACAGATGCAGTGTCTCGTGAGCTGTTCTCTCAGGCCTCCCACCGTTTCTTTTCCTTTCTTTTTACTGATGCTACCTGAGAAAAGCATTCATGCTCACTTCCCAGCATGACTGGTGCCCAGGGCAGAGGCTGCAACATTTCCCGTCACAGGAAGCAATGTGATGGCGGCAGCAGTGGCAGCCCCAGAACGCTGAGCCATGAAGACAGCAGCATTGCAGCAGGTTTTTGAGCTAGCAACCCTCGGTCCCATTTCTCCACTACCACACACATGAACTCAGCCTGTCCCTCCACAGAATTATAGCCGGGGGTGGGTCAAGAGCAAACCTTCATGCTGGGCAATCCCCTGTGGGGAAGCAGAGCTCCTACCCGTCCCTCCCGGCAGGGCCTATCCATCAGACTGCTTCTCCCTGACCCTTACCTTGCTTTTCACCATAAGGAAGATTCAGGACTTAATGTTTCTCCTCTTCAAGCCCTTTCCTTCCCCCAGGCTATGAGAGGGCAAGGCTGTATCCTAGGTTGCCTGTGCTAAACCCTCAGGATTGCATCCCATCAGTCACCTACACCTGTCATTGAAACCTTCAGAGGGTCTGACCCTCCCACTCCACTCTTGCTGTCACTGCCTAATTCAGCTGCCTTGCTTTGTTTCAGTAGCTTCCTCACTGGTCTTTTGGCCACGGTCTCCCTCCCTTCAGCCACCTTACATCGGCCACTTGGGTTAGCTCTCTGAAGCACAGTCCTATTGCCTGTAGGATAAGGACCCTTACCAGAACGTGCTTCAGAGTTTGACACCAACGATTTGTTTAATCTCTGACTCTCTAATAGACTGTCCATTCCCAAGGGGGCAGACACTAGTTTTGTTTGTTGTAAACCCAATGCCCAGCGTAGGAACTCCACATAGGTAAATGTTTGATAAATTTTTGTTGAATAAATGAGTAATCTTATCTCCTACTACTTTCCCTACATAGCCTCAGCACCTTGAATTATTTGTTATTTCCTGAATGACTTATATCTCTGCCTTTTCCTCTGCTTGAAATGTTCCCAACTCACCCAACCCTTGCCCACAAATTATTTCCTGGGTCTTGCTTAGTGAAGCTGTGCACAGTTATCTTCTCCAGAACAGCCAGAGATCACTGACTTATCTGTAGCCATTACCAGAAAAGCCTGCACATGCCTGCAGCCTTGGCCCAAGCCCCAGAATGGGATCTGTACCATCCCCAGATGTTTGAGCGATCTGGCCTGGGCATTTGGTGATACCCTGCTTCGACAGAATGAAGTAGTTTTCTGTGAAGCATACCAGAGTACCCCTCACCAGGTGAAGACTAGGAGAACATTAGCATCTGGGGCTTATGTCCCTTCCACTCAGACTTCTACTGGTCTGGAGAGAGTCAGCAGTTCCCTCAGATTCCTAGCAGGACACAGTTTAAGTGACCCTGAAGCCAGCAGATAGATTTGCCTACTGGCTTTCCCACTCAGGGTTAGCTGGCAGGCTGAAATAATAGTTTGAATTACAATCAACCACTTTGTTCCTGCCACCCAGGAGTGTCACCTTCTGGACCAGGTGTGGTGGTCATGCAGCTGAATGTCCCTAATGGAGCCCAGGCCCCCCAGAACCCATCCATGGTCCAGTGGAGTCACTGTAAATACTACAGCATGGACCAGCGGGGGCAAAAGCCTGGAGACCTGTACAGCCCTGACAGCAGCCCCCAGGTGAGTCCTGAGCCCAGCTTTGTCCTGGCAGGGAGGTGAACTCTCAGTGAGTATAATCTTTACCATTGACTGAGCAGCCTCTTTTACTTGTCTTTCTGTTGGCATTTTTTGGGAAGATATACAAAAAATAGAGGGGAACATCTTCTTTCAAGGAACCTAAGGTCCAAGGTGACAGATGGGACACATGCTTGAAAACGCTAAGAGAATGCTTAAAACAGTATATCAAGGAGTGGACATTAAAGAAACACAAACTAACTAGGGACTAAGGAGGTAGCTTGAAGGCACAGTCTGACTTTGGCAGAGTTCAGCAAGAGCAGTTTCCTGAGCGATGTGACGTAAGCCAAGCCATAGGCGTATCCAGGGGCTAATGTTTAGAGTGTGTGTGATGTGTACTCCTCTCTCCCCCGCAGGCCAACACACAGATGAGCAGCAGCCCTGTCACATCTCCCACCCAGTCTCCAGCACCTTCTCCTGTCACCAGCCTCAGCAGTGTCTGCACCGGACTCAGTCCCCTTCCTGTCCTCACACAGTTCCCCCGGCCTGGGGGTCCAGCACAGGGTAAGGCTGGCTGCTGTCAAACTCACCCTTCACACCCCATTCCCTAGTGGGGAGATCGAGAGGGCAGCACCAGGCTGGGTACCAGCGTGGCTGGTTGTCCAGCTCTGGGAGACGGCTCTTCATTTAACATCCCTGCTTAGGCCAAACACCTTTTTAGTGCTGCCCATGGCTAACTTACTCCAGACCTCCTTTACATATTTAGTGTTTACTACCAAGTCTCTGGTGACTCTGAGCCATGGAAAGGAAGTTCACTGAACACAAACAAAAGAATTTAACCCGTCAGTACCGAATCTGAGGGCTGGGAATATGGGGCTGTGTCAGAAACAGTATGGTTTCAGAAGAGGGAACGCTGGATTTGGTTTGAAAGACTTGGGTTCCGGTTCTAGTCCTACCACTAACTAGCTTTGTGATGTTGAACATGTTACTTAAACTTGGAACCTCAGTTTCCTGATCTATATAAAATGATATAACCACACATAAGATGGAAGCAGGTTTATCTGCTTTCCGCCTTGGCCTTCAAAAGCAGTATAAAAATAAGATGAAAATATGGTTTAAAAATTTCGAAGTGCTCTGAAATATATTTACCACCAATAATTGGTAACACATGATGCTTAACATATATCAAGCATTGCTGTAAGTGTTTGCTTGTAAGTACTTTATAAGTGCTGTAAGTGTCTCATATTCATTGAACCTTCCCAAGACACACCAACATCCCATTTTCGGTAACAGAGCCAGCATTTGAACCTAGGCAGTCTGGCTCCCAGTCTGTTTTCTTGTCCACTACACTGTATTGCCTCTGATGTGAGTCAGAAACTTGAGCCCTGGGTTTGGGGTGAGAAGAAAGTATATGAGAAATAAAAGACAATCTTAAGGGACTGTAGGTTTCCTTCAGGGCCTTTGGTCCACAATAGAGCCCTTCTTCAAAGGTGAGGGAACCTGATAGCCCCATTTGTCTGAGATACAGCTGAGAGCCAAGGGTCTAATGATAACTCCTATGACAGGAGTGCCCATACCAGTCATATCAGTGACATGGGCACTCCTGTCGTAGAAAGACTAGGAATAGTATGCACTGGTGCTGTCCATCTCCAAAGTCCCCTGCAATCTCATACTATGAAAGTCATACCATGAAGCTCGAACTCCCAGAAAACTGTCTGCTCTTTCTCCCCAGGTGATGGGCGCTACTCCCTTTTGGGCCAGCCGTTACAGTACAATCTGTCCATCTGCCCTCCCTTGCTCCACGGCCAGTCAGCTTACACGGTGCACCAGGTAAGGGTATCTGCCATCAGGCTTGGGGCCATCAGAGTCCCCTTCTCATCTGGGCCCCTGTCTCTGAGCCGTCCACCGCAACCAGGTGGGTGGACGAAGGAGGCAGCAAAGAGAACGGACTGAGTGGGAAGAGCCTCACCCCGCTGCTCCTGTGCTCATTCGTCTCACCCTTCCCCAGTGCCATGAGGGAGGGCCCTTTGTTTCTCAGTGGCCACCCTCTGGCCAGTCTACCTGCCTGATGGCATAGGGTCCTCAGGGTTGGGCGCTGCTCTTTAATCTCTCAGACAGACTGGGATGCAAGGCAGTCAGTATTGTTCACCCGGGATGAGAATTATCTTTCAAATGTTGAAGGGACAGAGTGGATTGAAGCATGGAAACCGGAGCAAGAGACAAGCACTCAAATCTGCCTCCACTGACCTGGGGACGACAGATGTTGGTGAGTGACAGGATCCTGAATCCCCAAGGGAAGGTGTTCACTCCTTCAGCCCTGCATTACCAGCTTAGGATGGTGAGAAAAGCCAGTCTAGGGTGGGGAGTTGAAAGGGGACCTTTTTGTTCTCAAGAGCAAGGAGAATCTGGAGTGTCTCAGTCCTCCACAGCAAGCCATTCCAGGTCCTGGGGAATATGAGGGTACAGATTGGGAATAACACAATGATAGGGGTTGTTGAGCCTACTATTAATAGAATCTTGTGGAAGTGATCCTGATGCTGATCCAAGATGTCTACCTTGGTGGTCCAAGACCCAGTTTAAGAGAATTTTGACAGGAAAATATGGGGGGGTAACTCTCCTCCTGCAGGCCTTCCATACTAGGCATATAAGGTCTCTTGGGGTTTCTCCTATTTGAAGCAGTTTGCTAAACAAGGAAAGGAAGGGAAACTGACTTCCCTAGATGGTAAGAAAGAGGAGTCCACTTGGACCAGCCTCTGGGAAGGGAAGTATGGAACATATTTCAGATTGGGCTATTAACTTTGTGAGAGAACTGAGGTGTGGGTTTCAAGATCTTAAATCTGGGATTCTGATTCCCAGTCTCTTCTTGCCCACACCTCTGGGCTAAGAGAAGTGAAAGATCCCTTTGTGTCTCCTAGTTGCCCTGATCAGACTCTGGATGGTGAGGAGTTGGGTTGTTTTGGGGAGGGAGGAAGGGGCTGTGAGGTTGGGCTTTTGAAGACATTGTATATAGACTTGAGCTGGATACTCCTCTGCTCGGCTGTTGTCCAGTCCTCTCTACTCTATACCTCTCACAACCATATCCTCTCTCCTCCCCTTCCAGTCCTGGGGCGGGTGCTGGAGGTGACAGATCTCCCTGAGGGCATCACCCGTACCGAGGCGGACAAACTCTTCACTCAGCTTGCCATGTCCGGCGCCAAGATCCAGTGGCTCAAGGATGCTCAGGGGCTGCCTGGTGGGGGTGGGGGAGACAACGGTGGGACTGCCGAGAACGGCCGCCACGCAGACCTCGCTGCCTTGTACACCATCGTGGCTGTGTTCCCCAGCCCCCTGGCTGCCCAGAATGCCTCCCTTCGCCTCAACAACTCCGTGAGTCGCTTCAAACTTCGAGTGGCCAAAAAGAACTATGACCTGAGGATCCTGGAGCGAGCCAGCTCCCAATGAACGGAGGAGGAGAAGGGACCAGCACGGCGTTGGGGGGGGGGGGCAGGGCAGGGTGGAGGGGGTTGCGGGGTCCTGACAGGCCACAGAGGCAGAAAGGAAGGTGACAGACACTAAACTGAAGCCTAAGACAGTAGGGATGAAGATGGAAACAGACAGACACTGACACTCTCACTGGACTCTCACTCCCCTGTCAAGGGTCCCCTTTCTCCCTGGTTGGCCCCACGTTGCTTCCCTCTCCTTCCTGTCCTCTTCTATCATTTTTAAATCTCTTCTCTCACCACAAAATTAATTTCTTTCATAATTTTTGGTCAGGTAGAATTGGGAGGATCCCAAACTCCCCTGTTCTATTTCCTTGCCATCCCAAACTCTCCTTTCTTTTTTGGTCTTTATGAATATATTTATATGGACAGAATTAAGAAAAAATGAAATTGATTTCCCCTTTCTCTCACCCCATTCTGTCTCCCCAAGCCCCACAGAGTTAAAACTTGGGCCTCCCTCCACCCCCCAGAACACTTGTATATTGTTTGAGATTTGTGCCGCAGTAACAGACACAGTATTTAATTGCACATACAGATGTTTGCTGGGTATATTCACTGTAAATTTTATTTAATCTGATTTTTTGTTTGTTTGGGGGGTTATTTGGCGGGAGGTTGATTTTGTTTTTAAATATAAAAAAAAAATCTGTTACTGGACATCAGGCCCTGTTGCTCTGTTGCCGCCCTGGTGCGGGTTGGGGTCGGAGGTCCTGGGCAGGTGCAGCCCCACAGCCTTTGGAGGGAGTTGCTGTGGGTTGGCGTGGCTCCTCTGGCATATGCATACATACCTTCCTAACACTAGTCCCTGCGTTCTGTCCTCCTCCTTAAATGTGATTCTGTTATATGGCTCTGCTGGGACTCTGCCACTAACTGTGGCTTTTCAAGCATGTCACTGTTGACTCTGGACCTCTGAGTTCTTACCAGTAAAATAAGAGACTTGAACTGACCAGGTGACCTCTGAGGTTCCTTCTACCTTGTTAATTCCGTGATACTCATTAGGGCCCTGGTAGCTAAGGCAGGGAGGTGTGAGTGAAGTTCAAAACTGAGTCATGGTGCCGGCCTCATATCTGTCCATCTCATCTTCTGAAAACTCTTCAGGTATGGAGGACTTGGACCTGTCTTTAATCCCAAAGCCAGGGATTGGGTTCTACCTGGCAGGAACAGAAATGGATGTTTCTTACAGTAAAAGCTAGATCAATTGAACTTGGAGTGCCAGGATGCCACATGATCCAGGCATGCTCAGCAGTCCCTGTCCTGCACAGCTAAAGAAAGGTGGAGAGCAGAAGTCGCTTGCCTGCAAGATGGAGCTTTCCTCTGTCTTCACAAAGCCAGCCCTGTTGTTGTTCAGCCTGTTAGACCAAGGCCGTTAAAGAGCCTGTTGACCCAGGACCATCTAGCAGCCCCTTTTCAGTATCACCTACGCCTTAAAGAGAAAAGAGCAGTAGGCAAAAATGACAAAGCACATTGCCCTGGAAATGCCTTGGGTCTGGGTAGCAGTGTTTCTAGCCAGTCTCCTCTGAAGCTTGTCTGACCCAGCCTCCGACATAATCCTTCGCTTCTTACAGATGCAAGGGATAAACCAGCACTACATTACCACCTCCAAACTGCTCTCCTCTGAGATAGGAGTATTTCCTTTCGCAGCCGTGTCACAGCCCGGACTAGGAAAGGGCTGCAGCCCTGTGAGATAAAAATGCCAGATGCTTCACTGACCCATTAGTTCACATGCTGAGATATCAGAGGAAAGGGATGGAGTCAGGGAGTTCCTGATTCACGGTGATGAAGGAAGTGTGAGGCTTGGCCATCCTATCTCCAAGAGTTTGCAGTTCCCATGGGGAAAGGGACATTACTTACAGATGATAAAAACTCCCTATGTGACAGCTTCTGCCTTCTGTCCAATGTTAAAAAAACCATCTCTGTGTGATCATTAGATCCTCTCTCCCCCAGAGCCCCTCAGATGGAAGTCCTAGCCTGGCTTTTTCTAATAGCTCTTAGAATTCCTTTCACCCTGAGGACAAGATTTTAGAGGAATAGGGGAAAGATGTCTTTGGGGGCAGCTGGTGGGAACAAAGCTGTACCACATGTTCTTCACTCCCTTCCATGATAGCAGCAAGGTACTCTTCCAGCTACCCGTGGAGAAGAAAGCAATCTAGTCTGGCTGATAGGAAAGCTCTGAAAATTCAAATTTCCCTTTCTTCACCAGTTTCCAGCCCTTTCCTTCCTAAAGGTTTGGGGCTACATCAATGCTTGAGGGCACAAAAGCCCATGGCCACAAGAAGACAGTGGCCGAGAAGCCAAAGTCTAGTTCATAGCGGAGGCCCAGGGAAGACAACTGGGGAGATGTCTGGACCTTGAGAAGGGGGATGAGAAAGCTCTACCTTCAGTCATCTAAAATCACCCGCTTGAGTCTGCAGCATGGACACTGTCCCTTCCTGAAGTTAGCCAGGACTGACCTACACGCCATAGGTGAAAAGCCAGGGAACAGCAGCTCGGGGCGAGGGGGAGGAGTTAGGGTCCAGCCCTGCCCAGACCTCCCCGTGTCTAATTTCTCTGTGTCAGCTGTGTCGCTCAGCTGTCCACTTCCCTCCAGCCCTGTCATTTCAGCTCTGACACCAAGGCGAGAGGCTAGGAGGTCTACAAATACCGTCTGGGTAGCTGGTTGAGTACAGAGGGTGCTGGGGGGCTTAGCCCCCCAAGGAAGAGGACCAGTCCTCCCTCAGCACCACCATCAAGACCCCAGGGGCTCCCTCTTTCCTCCACAGACTGTGGACTGACTTAGGGAATCCCAAACGTAAGTTGCTTCTTCATCCTCTTCCCACTTCCAGGACTGCTCACCCCAGCTTCCCCAATCCATAGTCTATTCAGCTCCCTCATTTCTCGCCTTGTCTGTGAGTAGTTTGAATTTTAGGAGTGAAGTTACTGTTCTACTTCAGGCCAAGTGCTAGGATTGGAGGACGGGGTGGGGGTAGGGTCAGGGGAATGGAGTAGTAAGGGAAGGAAAGGCTCGTATTACCCTGAAAACTTAAAATAGCTGAGGCCTGAGGCAGGCTGGGAACTAGGCACTGGGCTCAAGGAAGAGGTAGGGGAGAACAAATGTCCCCAGCCTATCCCTCTGTGCATGCTTCTGGACATACACACTGAACCTCTTGAAAGGGGGACGGGCAAGATGCGTGTCACACTGCTGTTGCCCCCAGATTCTTAGGAGAAACAAAGTGCCTGTAGGAAAACCCCTAAACCGTGCAGCCTTGCGCACTGTCTTGGGGCCGTGAACTCTGGGGCTGCCCCTCACGGTGGAAGGATGGGTAATGATTTGAATAACTGGCTGGGACGTTCTTTAGTCTGTTGGGCCTTTCTCTGGACCTCCATGGAATCTTCCTGTTCATAAGCCCTGTGAAGAAATCTCTGTTTAACTGAATTTCCCCCGAAGTCTCCCCTTCAAGGACCACCCGACTGCGAGTGACAGGAATAAGGGAGGGAGGACTGGCAGTCAGGGGTTAGATTTCATAGTGGGGTCCAACCTCTTGCAGGATGACAGAAAAGGAGGTGCTGGAGTCCCATAAGCCCTCCTTGCCAGCAGAGACTCGGCAGAGCGGGGTGAGTCTGGGCCTGTGACCGCTGGGCGTTGGGCACTGGGAAGCCACTGAAGCCCTTGAAGAAAAGTGCTTGAATTGATCTTACTTGTATGTGGCTCACTTATTGTTAAAATGCTAGCCAGCACCTGCAGCCCCCTGTACCGCTTAATCCTGGGGTGTGCCCCTTGCCCCAGGCTAGAAAAATGTCTAGTCAGCTTCAGCCTTACCTACCCTAGAAAGTATGACGGTTCTTTTAACATTGGGTTTCCTTCACTGCCTCCCCTCCTCCCCCACTCCCTTCCTCAGCTGCAGCGGCTGAAGCGGTTATTCAGGAAGGAGTCTACAGGGACAAAGGAGATGGAGCTTCCCCCAGAGACCCAGGCGAATGGGGAGGCAGTGGGAGCTGGGGGTGGGACCATCTACTACATCTATGAGGAAGAGGAGGAAGAAGAGGAGGAGGAGGAGCCACCCCCAGAACCTCCTAAGCTTGTCAATGATAAGCCCCACAAATTCAAAGATCATTTCTTCAAGAAGCCCAAGTTCTGCGATGTCTGTGCCCGGATGATTGTGCGTGAGTCATGAAGGGAAGTGGAGAGTGTGATGTCGAAGGCAGTGGGTGGGGGGAGGGTTTAGGAGGGGAGAGCTTGTATAGCAGATAGGCTGTGGCAAGATTTGGCTTTAAGAAAATACTGATAGAGACTTCGAGTGTTGGGTCCCAGACAGAAAAGGGATCGAAGGGCTAGATAGCAGCAGTGTTACAGAGGGAAGGGGAGTCAGGACCCTCACCCAAGTGTTCTCCCCATCTCCCAAGTCAACAACAAATTTGGGCTTCGCTGTAAGAACTGCAAAACTAACATCCACGAACACTGTCAGTCCTATGTGGAGATGCAGAGATGCTTCGGCAAGATCGTGAGTAGGCTCTGGGAAGCAATAAAGCAGAAGGGAGGGGACATGTTGCCAGCTACCTCCTTGCCAGTCCCTCCTCAAGTCATCCCATCCATTTCCCTGCTTTTTCTTTCTCAGCCCATCTCTTGCTCCAAGAAGGGGTGAACACTCATGGGTGACATGGGGTTCTGGGCCCTACCCTGTAATCTCTAATACTTTCTCCCATCCCATCCCACAGCCCCCTGGTTTCCGTCGGGCCTATAGCTCCCCACTCTACAGCAACCAGCAGTACGCTTGTGTCAAAGATCTCTGTAAGTGCCCCACACAGGACCTGAGGGAATGGGCAAGCCTAGAGATGCTTTCAGCACCACCTCCAGATTTGGAAGCCAAATTCTGAAACAGAAGATTCTATTTCCCATGGTTCTCTTTCAACCTAATGTATTAGCCATCTTGGATGCAGAGTCAGTATTCCCGTTTTATAGCTGAGGGAAGGAAGATTTAGCTAGAGCTCTACTCGGCTAGGAAGAGACAGAACCGAGACTGAAACCTTCATCTGCCTAACTTCAACTCTGTGCTCTTCATATGCAAAACCATTTCTAAGCATGAACTAGGCTGTTCTCATCCTGTTACAGAACAATGCCAGACTCAGGGCTGGACCAAGAGCGGTGGGCATCCTGGGCGGATTCATAATTTGGCAACCCTTAAAAATATATTTGTTGACAATTTGCTTACCATTTATTTGGAGGAAAGGCTGAACTCTGTGAGGAGCATGGATGGAAAAAAAAGAACTCACTGGTGGTAGTACCCCAGCTTGCACATGCCACTCAGTGGAACAGAAGCCAGCAGTTAAAGGACCAGTCTCCTTAAAAGGGAAATAGTGATTCTGAGCATCCCCCAACTCCCAAGGAACTTATTAGCAGAGTTGTCTTTCCAACATCACATAATGCTCTGCCTGGAAGGAGTGCTGGTAAATATCTTTCTCCATCACATTTCCAGTGATGTTTTTAGAGCTCTTTATAGATTGATGACCTAGGTACACCCAGCTGACACTTTGCTAACTCTAAACACACACATCCACACGCACGCACACACATTGGTATCTTACCTATTCAATCCCCTCTCTCCCTTACTTAGGAGGTCTCTCTTTCCTTCAACCCTTTTTCCTGCCCCCCCACCCCCCAGTAATGTCTTCTTTCTTCTCCCATTCCCACTAGCTGCTGCCAATCGCAATGACCCTGTGTTTGAAACCCTGCGCACTGGGGTGATCATGGCAAACAAGGAGCGGAAGAAGGGACAGGCAGATAAGAAAAATGTGAGCACCCAAACTTCCTACTGAGTTCCCATCTAGAGACCCCGCAGAGCAGGTCCTGTCTCCTCTCTGGAATGCTGACAGAAGTATGGATTCTCTACCCCTAAAATTGCACATAACCCAACAGACATATTTTTGCATGCAATTTTAAAGGACCTCAGGTCAACAACTCCTGCCATAGTGTGTGTTTTCTCCAGGAACTCCCTTCTGAAATCGTCAGATTAGCCACCATAACTAACTAAAGGCTGGGCCCCAGGCCCCTGGCATTACCGGGCAAGAGAGACAAGAGCTATGCTTTTTTCTTTTCTTTTTTTTTTAAGATGGAAGGCAGAAGAGTGATACCTAAGCCTTTTTTTTGTTTCATTTCTTTTCTAAGTATAGTTGATTTGCAATGTTGTGTTAATTTCTGGTGTTTAGCATAGTGATTCATTTATACGTATATGTATATATTCCTTTTCATATTCTTTTTCATTATAGGCCATTGCAAGTTGTTGAATATAGTTCCATGTGCTATACAGTAGAACCTTGTTGTTTATCTGTTTTATATATGGTAGTTAATATCCGCAAATCTCAAGCTGCAAGAACAATGCTTTTAGACTTGGGGGAAATAACTTGTCATGCCAAGTAATCGGAGAATTCTAGAGCCATGCAGGGGTCCATGAAGATGATCTAGTCTGACCCGTTTATCCTATAGATGAGGAAACTGAGGCAGAAAGCTCGTGGCCAAGAGCACCTTCGTTTCCTTTTGTAATAGGGTCACTACATTGGTAATATAATAAACTTGCGTTAAGTTCAGCAAGGAATTTATTAGTGTATCCTTGTATCTTTCTGGACAACCAGGATAGACTAATGTGGATAATGGTTACAGTTAGATGGATTCCTAAAATTGGTTGAATGACAGTACCCAAAGGATCCTGGTCTCGTAGGGAGTTTCCAGCTAGAGAGAGATTTCTGATGCTTTATGACATGATTTAGTCCTTGGTCCTCACCTATAGACATTTTTCTCACTGAAACAAATGAAGATATAAATGGTATATCCAATTAAGTTTGTGGTAAACTTAGAGAAAACTTATACACTGAATAACATATTCAAAAATCTTACAGACTAGAAGACAGGGCAAGAACTAATAATTCAAAATTTGGTAAGAAAAATATATAACTGTTCTTGGATCAAAAAATAAAATCAACTGCACAAAAACAGAACTAGAGATCTGGCCCCAGAGTTGAAGTTTGGGTGCAGATTAGGGGTTTTCTGTGGAGTGAGCTATGACTTATAAGGCTGTCCATGTGCTTTGCTTCCAGAAAGGCTAGCCCAGTTGGGTTCTGTTCTCTTAAGAGTATTATAAAAATTGTGCTTCCCAATTTCTCTTACACATTGTAGTATTTTTAAGGGCAGACATTATAGTAAAGGACATGGAGTCAGGATCATGGTGGGTGATTCGAAGGGACTGAGAATGATTAGAGAAGAAAAGACAGGAAGGACATGTCATCTGCCCTCAGGTCTTGGAAGGAATTGTATTTGTTCTCTATTGCTCCAGAGGGCAAATGAGGGCCGGTAACTGAAAGTTACAGGGAGGCTGACATAGGCTTAATGCAGGGAATTTCCCCAAAATTCCATGGGCTTGTTTTGCAAGGTAGTGAGCCTCCTGTCAACTACATTGAAGCACAGTATGGGTGGCCCACCTGCCAGGATGTTTCAGAGGAACTCCCTGCATTAGGCAGGTGGTTGACTAGATATTTCCTTCAAGGCTCCTTCCAAACCTGAGATCCTATTATTCTGTAATTCTCTGGCCTGACTGGAGAGCCAGTCATAGGTTTCCAAGACAGCATCTTCCTAATTCTGATGCCCCCTCCAGCCTCTAGCAGCCATGATGGAAGAGGAGCCAGAGTCTGCCAGACCAGAGGAAGGCAAACCCCAGGATGGTGAGTAATACCCACTTCCATCCATAGAGATGGAAGAGGGTTGAGGCTCAGCTGTGGCACAGGGGATGGAGGCCCAAAGGGCATGCCAGGTTCAGAGATAAGAGGCCCTGCAACAGAAAGGTAAGAGATTGAGGGCTACATTCCAGGAGCCAGAGATAATTGGCTGGTGTTTCCCATTCCAGGAAACCCTGAAGGGGATAAGAAAGCTGAAAAGAAGACACCTGATGACAAAGTGAGAACCCAGGAGTCTCTTCTCCCTGTGGGTCCCTAGTGCTCTCCCCAGCCCAGGTCTGATACCACTCATAGCTTCAGCAGAAGCTCACACTTATTCTGTGGGTTCTAATCACCCTTAACCTGCATTCTCCACCACCTCACACACACACACACAACCAATACATTCCTCTTAGTTCAGGGACATGGAAGAGAGTTGGAATGAAGTGTGTATGGAGAATGCCCCTGCCTTGGCCTCCTGCCCCTCAATGTGGGACAGAGGAGCCCTGAGACTCATCACCCCCTTTCTCCCCCAGCACAAGCAGCCTGGCTTCCAGCAGTCTCATTACTTTGTGGCTCTCTATCGGTTCAAAGCCCTGGAGAAGGATGATCTGGATTTCCCGTGAGAGGCCTTAGGATTGCGGTGGGGGTATACTGGGAGTGGAGAGGGGAGAGCCCAACTGCCTATGGGAAAGGGAAAGGGGAACTCAGGGCTTGGAGCCTATTTGGGACTGGACCTGGGCAAACCAAGGGGCCGGATATTTAAGGCCCCTAAGTCTCAGAGGCCCCTTCCTTTCTCTCCCAGGCCTGGAGAGAAGATCACTGTAATTGATGACTCCAATGAGGAGTGGTGGCGGGTAAGAGAAATGTCTGAGGCTCTGGTGGGACATGGATTGAGTTTAGAACCTGAGGTTGAGAGATTGATTCTCCCTACCATCACCCGTAGGGGAAAATAGGGGAGAAGGTCGGATTTTTCCCTCCAAACTTCATCATTCGGGTCCGGTCTGGAGAGCGTGTGCACCGCGTAACAAGATCCTTCGTGGGGAACCGCGAGATAGGGCAGATCACTCTCAAGAAGGACCAGGTAGCTCTGGTGTCCCAACTCAACCCTAGTCCCAGAGGCTCCTCTGGAAACCACACTCCTTGCAAATCTTAACCCATTAGTGGGACTAGGGTGGGCCTCCATACTCCGGGCTCCCTGCTCAGCTCTTCTGTTTTCTCTTGATTCTTCTCCCTCGTCCTTTAAACCTTTAGATTGTGGTGCAGAAAGGAGATGAAGCCGGCGGCTACGTCAAGGTCTACACCGGCCGCAAGGTGGGGCTGTTCCCCACAGACTTCCTTGAGGAGATTTAGGCGTGCAGGCGCCTGCTGGGGGGAGATACCCAAACCCCATTCTGGGCAGGCTCAGTGGAGGTTGGGGAGGAAAGAGGCGAAAGTAGCTATACTGCTGGATGGGAGAGGGGTGGGAAGGCCCATCATAACGTGAAGGGCCTTCGGGGAAGAGACTGGTTCCCATCCCCGCTCCCCGCTCCCTGCTCCCCGGCGAGGGCATCAGATACTTGGTGCCGGGAGCAGCCTCATCAGCCTTTGAGAGCTGGAAAAAGAACACGTCTCCACTAGGAGGTGTCCCAAGGGGAGGGAGGTTAAGACGAACCATCGAATGTTGCGAATTTATTAAAGTTTTGACAAAAGTTTTAAAAGTTTGCTTTTTAACTGGGTGCCGAAGGGAGAGGGAGAAGCGGGAGCAGAGGGCCTTACGAAGAGGTGGAGAATCCTCCCCAGCTGTCCTACCTAACTACGATCGGGTAACCCGAGACCCACCTGGGCTGAGGCTGGTGCGAGGTGGGGAGAGTTATGCGTCCGCCAGGCGAGGGCTCTGTCGTCAGTGAAGAAAGGGGAACTGGACTGGGATCACCGCCCGCGCGCTTCTGCTGCTGAGAGCAAGACGGCTAGCAAGGTAGGTCCCCTAGCTCTTGGCGATTTAGCGGTGGGGAGCCCTTTACATTTCCGAACCTGGATCACTGCCGAGCTAGGCCGCCAGGGGGCGATGCGAGATCTCGGTTGGAGAGCGAGGGACCAGCGGGGGGTGGGGGCGGTGGGGAGGGCGGGGAGAGGAGAGAGCCGAAGACACCAAGCCGGAGACCCTGGGCTTGGGAGGGGGTGGGGTGCGTGCCGTCTCCATGGCAACACTTCCTCACGTCCTCGGGGAACTAAGCGAACGAGGCCAGGGGGCCTAACCCCTCCCGCGCGGCCCCCGCCCCAGCCCTTTGCGACAGGTACGGAGTGAGAGGGCGCGGGGCAGACAGCTAACTGGCTCACGCGGAGCCCCCTACGATGCGCTGTATGCAAATGTTATTATTTGCATATGTAAATATGCAAATCGCCGGCCCCGGTCAGGGTGGCAGGTGGCAGGGAGACGGAAGGTGTGGGAAAGGGAGCTGAAGGATACGAGGAGTTATAGGGACCTGGGAGCCCACCAGTAAGAAGCAACCTGGGGTGGCCGCTGGAGTGGGGCTGGCGGAGGGTCTTGAGCTTGACGGAGGATGGGGGAGGGTCAGCCTGGCCTGCCAGGAGATCCTCTTCTCTTCTGCCGGTTGTCTGCCAGGCCTGAGGTTGGCACCGCCTAGCAAGGTTGGCAGCGGGAGCCTGGGCACCATCTGCTGCTGGCGGGGGGGGGGAGGGCAGAGGCTCAGCTGGGCTGGGGAGGAGGAGGGCCCAGGACGGGCGCGCCCCCCTTCCTTCCAGAAGGCCGAGGTGTGTTGGGGGTAGGGAAGCACACGGGAAGACTAGCCTCAGAATCTGGTTCGGTTTCCTGTTCCCTTTGCCCTTGACTGTCCCGGACGCCTGGGGGTGGCGATGGGGTCGTAAAGAAAGACTCAGACAGCCCCCTTGAATCACGCTTGGGCTAGAATAGGAGCAGATCACAAGCCTCCCCCTCCACCACCACACCCACATTAACCCTTTTGCGCCCATTCCTTCTCGGGGCCCGCCCACCACAAATGTGGGGGCGGGGGGTGAAGACATATAGGGCTCTGGTCGCAACTCTTCATCAAGCGATCTGAAGGACTCAAACCCAGAGCCCCCGACCCGAGATCCTCAAGAGGGTCCCCCACAATGCTGAAGCAAAACCAATTTACTGGCTCATTGGGCGGCGATGCGGGTGTGGGGGTACAGAGAAGCAGAGAGAGAGGCTGTTCTCTCCCCCTACACTCGAGGGGCACCCTCCTCCCCCGCCTCGCGGAGCCGGCAGCTGTCCCTAATTAGAGCGGCGGTTTAATTGGATTTATCAGCAGTTAATAGGAAATTAAGCAAAGGGCCCGAGAGAGGGAGGGCGGGAGGAGCGGGGAGGCCGGCTGTGCCGAGCTAGAAGGCCGGGTGCTGGGGTGCCGGGTGCCAGGGTGGGGACACAAGGCCCAGTTATAGGTGAGCCCCTTGGACACACCTCCCCCCAGTGCTTGCCCGCCGGTTGAGCCCTGGCCGGCGGGCAGAGAGCAGGTCTCAGGAGAGGGAGGCAAGAGGGACAGCGACCTTGTGTGAGCCCCCTTAACGCCCCCACTCCTGCAAGTGGCAGCCTAGGTGATGGATGATGCTGCCTTACACTGCAAAGGTCATAAGTCTGGGCCAAGGAGCTGACTGAATTGAAAACAGACCAAAGGAGGGGCCCGGTTACCAGGGTTCAGGACCCAAGTGGCATCCTACCCCTCCTCAGTGCCCACCCTGCTCTTAGCAAAGAAGGTGCCCCTTGAAGTCAAAAGATTGGGCAACACCAGAGATGAGCCGGCCTCCTGGCTGTGTTGGGGATCCTGGGAGTCTCCCTAAGCAGCTGCCGATATGGCACCCCCCTGTCCCCCAGCTGCTGGGGTTGGGGTTGAGGCTGTGGCCAGATTGGCCTACAGTCCACACCACCGGCCCTGTGGGCCAAGGAAGGAAGTTTGTAGGTAGTCAAGCGGGGGCACAAGTGTCCACAGGCCCACGCATCTCCTATCACCAGAACCTCATTATATGGCTACATTAACAAGGCCTGCTTCAGGGAACACCAGCGACCTCTCTGGCACACTTCACCACCGCAGGGCACAGGCAGCAACTCCTGCATACGTGTGGAGTAGGAAACTGAATGTGTAGGAGTGGGGGTGTCTCTGTGCTCCTGCAGATTATGGGTGTCAATAGCCCAGGTGTGTGTGTGTGTGTGTGCGCGCGCGCGCCCCTGGTATATGTCTGTGCCGCTGAATGTGTCTTGTCCCCATTCTGCCCTCATACCCAACCTCTAAGCCCCTGAGTGTCTGGGTGTGCATATTTGCTTTGACATATCTACGTATCTGTGCATTCTTCATGCCTGCGTGTGCCCCGCATGTGGGCATTTCCGTGTGCCTCTGTCTGCAGAACTGTGTGAGAATCAGGAAAAGCCTCTGGTAAGTGTGTTGCTCTGGCGTCTCTGCCTGCAGGTGTGTGTGTCTTGGTGACAGTTCGTGGGCGTGTGCCTGGGTGTGAGCTTCGCCGCGGCGGCGTGTAGTCGAATGACAGTGTGACGCACACACGCTCGTGTGTGTGCGCGGGTTCGCGCGCGCTCGCCAGGGTGAGTCTCCCGCCCCCCGCCCCTTCTTCTCTCCATTTCTATTCCTCTCTCCTCTCCGGGCGGGCTTGGCTCCGCGGTCCGCATCATCTCCATCCATTATTGAAGAAACAGCCGCGTCCGCTCCAATCACATCAACACCCCCCGCCCCTCTCCGTTCTGCTCGCCCCGCGGCCCCTCTGGGTGCTGGGGAGCAGGGGAGCTGCAGCGCGGCGGGGGCGCCAGGCAGGAGCGGGCTCATGACCCCGTGCCCCGAACAGGGCCAGGCATTGGGACGCCGGGGTCCCCGGCGGAGAGTGCTTTGCATAAACAGATGGCGCGGGCGTCTTTGTCTCGCTGGTTTGCTCGCCGGGCGGCTCCTGGCTCCGAGGCTGTCTGGCTGATGCAATCATGATCATCTCAGGGCCTCGGGACCCTGCGCCCTTAATAGTGACAGAGGGGGCAGGGGCCCCGGACTCCCGAGCAGATGCTGGGTACTGTGTCTTCCCTCCAGGGCGCCCCCTCCACGCCCCACTGCAGCAGAGGAAAGACGGAGGCCGCACCAAGGTGACAGGAATGTGGAAGTGACTGGGAAGGGGACGCTGGGCAGTGCCCCATGGTGTCCCCAGGCTGTCTCGTTGGACTGGTGCAGACCCCCAGGGGTAGCAAGCCAAAGAATAGTAACAGAACTGGAAAATAGGAAGGGAGAGACAGAGATAAAGAGAGTGACAGAGAAAGAGAGACAGCGAGGTAGAGAGATGTAGAGGGAAGGAGAGACAAACACAGGCAGACACAGAAACAGATGCAGAGGGACAAAGCCAAGTAAAGAGAGCTGCAGAGGGAGAGACAGAATGAGAAGGAAAAGAGAGACAGTGACAGACGAGGCCTGAAGAAGGGGCAGAAAAAGGGCAGCCAGAGACTGGATCAGGCAGGGTCGCAGGGAAGACTCAGAGCAGAGACGGAGCCCCAGGCATCTTGGGCCACCCAGCCTGGCGAGAGGAACCAGCCTGAACCTGGGGTGCCCGCGGCTGGCGAGTTGGGAGCTTCTGCGTCCCTTCTCCTTCCTTCCACTCGGCCCCACCTCACACAGAAGAGTGGAGGCTGCAGGAACCGCGTGCCGGCAGGTACCGACCCGCCTGGCCCTACCTTAACCTACTCGAAAGCCGCGGAGCGCAGGGCCGGCGCGGTCCGACAGGGGGCGCCCGAGGCACAGCCCCTAAGCGCTTGAGAGCAGCTCCGCCTCCAGGGGGCGCCCGTGTCCACGGCCCCGCTGCCAGCTCTCTCCCCCGAGCCCAGCTGCTTTTGACATTCAGCTCCGCCAGAGCGCGGATTAGCGTCCTGTGCAGTTTAGCGTTCAGAGTTGGATCCCAGGGGGACCCCCGCTTGCCCCCAGCCACGCCTAATCCGCAGCTAATGACTTCTGCCGGCTCGGTCAGCATGACCTGAGTCCTTCTGGTGGTAAAGTGCGGGATGGTGGGAAGAAAGGGGATCTGGAGCCCAAGTTCTGTGTCTCAGCTCAGTCCCAGAGACCACAATTCAGAGATGGGAAGGGACTTAGCAATAGGGTCACAGACAAGGGGACAGAGACAAGTACCAGAAGCAGGTGAAGGGTCAAGGAACCCCCAGAGAGGCCAGAGCAGAAGTAATGATATAGTAAGAAACTCGGAGAGCAAGGGCAGAGGCCCAAGGCAGGAGGATCCCCAGCGGCTCTAGAAAAGAAGCGGAGCGGAGAGTCCAGAATGTGATAGGCTCAGGTCACTGGACATCACAAGAAAGAGCACCGGAAGGCAGGCAAGGGCCCAAGAAGCAAAGAGGCGTGATGCAGGAGCCAGACATCCTTGTCTGCGTCCTGGCGCCCCAGCTGTGCCACTCAGAGCCAGATGTGCAGCCCAGCTGTGTGGTACCTCAAGTTCCAGGATTAACTTTTAGTTCCAGAGGCTGGAGGGCTAGGGGGCACAGGTGATAGGACACTCCAGTCCCTGACCCAGCCCTGGAGGTGCGAGTGCTCGGGGAGGGCCGGGCTCTGCGCTGCTCCAGGCTCTGACATCCCGTCAGTCCCCCTCCCCCGCCCCCCACACACGTAAGCACCGAGTCTCTGTCTCTTTGTTCTCCCCGTGTCTCTGACACTTTATCTCATTATCCGCCGGAGGGAGGCGGAAAGCCCAGGACCCCGCAGCCTAATTACAGCCGAGCTTGTCAGCGCAGGAGGCGGGGGAGGTATCAGTGAAAGGAGGGTGGGGAAAGGAAGAGGACCCACAGGAAAGGATGCCTCTTCCGAGAGGCCCAGCGGTGGGTGCAAAACTCGACCCTGCCTGGACACCACGGGGCCCTGGAGTGGAGAAGTGGGGCAGCTCTGTAGGATGGGTAACTGCGCAGCAGGGAGGGTAGAAGTTAGCATAGTAGTGGGGAGAGGTGATTAGAGTTCAGCTCCTGGGTCCCTTGGATCCCAGTTCCTCAAAAACAGTGGCAATGAGCCTTCCCACCCTGACAACATAGCACACACCTGAGTTGGTTGTGCAAAGGGAGGAAATCGCTCTATACCTCTCTCTGTCTTGTTCTCTTCCCTCCTTCAACATCTTTTCTATCTTTCCTTATTTCCTTCACTCCATTTGCTTTCTATCACAGCCAGAGGCAGAAAGTGTCTTCCCTAGATGGCTCTCCACCTTCACCCCCTACCCAAGGTAGGCAGAGGGAAAAAGTCTCTCAAGCCCCTAAACTTTGCCAACTGACTTAGACTATCCTGAGCCAGATTTATGATAATGCCTGGCTCCCCTGGCCTCCAAACACTATTCCAGGCCAACCACAATACAACTTGGAAAAACTGCCCAGACTAGAGCGGCTGGGGCAGCTTTAGTTCTGTCGGTCTCTCCGTCTGCCTCCTTTTCCCACTATCCTGTGGAGAGAGACAGAAGCAGAGTCCCCAAGACCTGACAGCTCCTGGGTGGCTCTCGGGGTATCAGGGAAGCTTTGCAGATACCTTCACTCGTCACCAACCCCTCCTGGTCCTCCCTGTGAACACTCCACATCTGTGCTTTACCGGAGGCCTGTCTGTCCCCTGGTGAGTCCTTTCTCCCACTTCTAGATCCCCCCTCAATCAGTCTCTGGGTCAGAGTCTGAGAGACCTCTCCCTTGGACCAGCCCAAAGCATGATAGTGTCCCATGGACCAGGAGTGGAGGAGCAGAAATCCCTCTGCTCCCTAACAATCTCCCGGCTGAGAGATGGGGGGTGGAGTGAGTCTGAGGAAGCAGCCAGGCTGGGCTGGGCTGGGCTGGGCTGGGCTGGGCTGGGCTGGGCTGACCCCTCCCCAGAGTGGGGCGGGACCCCAGGAGGAGAAAGGGAGTAGGGCCACTGGAGAGGACCAGACACTGGAGAGGCGATATGGCAGGAACCAGCCTAGGAGCCCGCTTCTACCGGCAGATTAAGAGACATCCTGGGGTGAGTTTGATTCTAGGAGCCATGATTCTACCTCCTAACTCTCTGGATGCCTCTGCAGCCCCCAAATCTACCAGTGCCCTGCCTTCCCCAGTGCTCCTAATCTTTCTCCAGGGTGCCCTCAATCTGTGTCTGCAATATGCCCCCTCACCCCCATGTTCCTTGAATCTAACTCAGACAGGCTCACTGTAGGACGAGGGCAACTATGGCAGGAAATGTGGTGTGGGAGGGTGCAGGTCCCTGCTTCCAGAGGGGAGGGAGTGCCAGACCCGGGGTGGGGGTAAGCGAGAGCAGAAAAGCTTGTAAAGGGCGATTGGGAGGGGGGCCAACCCTGAAAGTGCCCTCTGTCTTCCCCACAGCTCATCCCGATGATTGGCTTCATTGGCCTGGGCATGGGCAGCGCTGCACTCTACTTGCTACGGCTCGCCTTGCGCAGCCCGGACGTCTGGTAAAGGCCTGGCTTGGGACACAGTAAGGGGTCCTGGGTTGGGCAAGATGGGGTAGGAATGCCTCTCAGGGACGGTGGGAAATCCCCAGGTATCTAGGGGCTGGAGCCAGCTCCTGACCTGGGAGGCCCCCACCTCCCCTAGGGCCTCCCCTAGGGCCCACCCGACTGACTGACCGCTCACTCCTCCTCACTCCTTGGTGGCTCAAGAGTGGGCCAGCTTTGGGTTGCAGAACTTGTACTGGCCTGGTTACCATGGCGACGTGGCTCTGCTGCCTCGCCGCAGCTGCCACCGCCGCCACCACTGGCAGCCTTTGGGTACCTCTATCTTGCTGCCCAAGCACGGTGGAGTGGGGGTGGCTGGGTGAGCTGTTGGGGGTGCTTCTGGGGCCAGGGCTGCGGGGAGAGATGGGCTTCAGGGAGATGCCAAGCCCCGCCAGAGGTGGAATTTGTTGTCTCAATTCGAAGCCCATCACTGCAACCCCAGCACCTTGGGATTTCTGCCTGATTCCCACCTCTCTGCTCTGCAGGGCTAACCTAGGGTGCTAGGGAGCAGGTGGGATTCCTTGGGCTAGGTTGTCAGTCTGTCACCTGGCCCCACACTGACAATAGTGACAGCCTTCTTGTCTCCCTTGTCAGCACCCAATAACGCGCCCCCTCAGTCTCTGGGAAATGGACCCCTACAGAGAAAAGGGTGCTGGGGTGGGGGCAGAGACCCGAGATGTCCCCTTAGCTCCCAGAGAGGAAGCCCTAACCCTCCTCCCTCTCTACAGCTGGGACCGAAAGAACAACCCAGAGCCCTGGAACCGCCTGAGCCCCAATGACCAATACAAGGTACTTGCCAGTGGCTTTAGGGTTGCACCTCCATCCGCTCATCTCTTGATCCCAGTTCCACAACCCCTAACCCCCAGCAAAGGGAGGCCTGGGCACTCAGTGCAATCCCCCTTTCTCCCCCATAGTTCCTTGCAGTTTCCACTGACTATAAGAAGCTGAAGAAGGACCGGCCAGACTTCTAAGCCTGGCAGTAGTGCACGTCCATGTGAACCACCGGCCAGCCTACTCATTTCTTCCACTCTCCACCCTCCACCCCAGGGCGCCACTCTAGCCACCCTGTCCAGCTCTTGCTTACACAGGCCGGGTTCCCACGAGGAGGGGAGGTAGCCCCACCCCCAGCCTCTTCCCTCACTCCCAGCAGCGGAAGCGCCTCTGACCCTCAGCTTGAGTCTCACGAGGGGGAGGGGGAGCTAGGAGGGCAGGCAGCATCCTGGTTGACCTAAAAGGGCCATGTCAGCCCCTCTGCCCCGCTACCCGGGCCTCACAGGGTGTGGTGCGTATGCTACGTGTTGAGCGTGGCCTACGTGAGCCAAGAGCAAGCAGGGGCCTCTGATTGCCAAGTGACGTGGCAGGCCCCATGTTAGCCCAGGCTCCAGGCGCCAGCCCAGGGGCGGTGCTGCCCTGACTCGACTGGGCTCGACTGGGCTCGCCCCTGACAGCCCAGCCAGCTTGTGAGGATGCACCTACGCCCCTCTGCGCAGCTCGCTCCTCCTGGTGCCCAAGCCTGCTGCCTCTCGTGCCAATGGGCACCCCCTCCTGCCTCACACCTGGGCCTCTCCCTGCCTTCCCCACCCCTCCCTTGCTCCCCTCTGTCCCCAGGGATCAAACAGAAGCAGCCGTGGGCAAAATACAATTTCATTTAACAAATTGAATTTGCTGCGCCTGCTAATCACGTCTGGTGTCGGCTCTGATCAGAGACAGAAAGGAGGCTGCAGCCCCGGGGGTCCTTGTGGTGGTGGTGGGAGGGAAGGGAGGAACACGTTGAGGGAGACAAATCACCACCTGGCCCAGGGGACCCCTCCCACAGTAATAGAAGCTCAGAGCAGGTTAGCATTTTATTAGATAAAAACGGAAAGGAGGGTGCCAACCCACCCCTTCCTCTGGCTCACAACGGGAACTCCCCCTCCCCGAGAAAGAGCAGGGAGTCTATAACACTGAGATAACGGAAGCAGTTAGGGCAGAAAGCCCCAAGCCGCCTCCTTCTAAGTCTTGCTACAAGAAGAAACCTTCTTGGCTACAAATTCTGGGAAGGGGAACCACACCTGGCTCTTCCCCTAAGTGGGAGGCCTCTCCTCCTCCAGCAAAAAATTGGCAGATAAGCAGCCCCGCCACCTTGCCACTTGTCCAGACTGGGGGAAGAGGAATAAAGGTCAGGCTGTGGGCCTCATTTCTTAGATGCCTTCAGCGCTCATCAAAACCAGGCATGGGGAAGGCCCTGGCAAACCGCTCCACCCTTTGCCTGAGGTCAGCCAGCCGATGACTTGTTTCTGGGTCTTTGAGCAAGAAGGATTTGAAATCCTGGAGTTTGGCTAGAGAGGGGTGAGGGAAAAAAGTGGCGTCGGGAAGGCTGTTAGATCAGCTAGGGGAGGGGGAGACAGCGACTGTAAACTGGCTGGCTGGGGTCAGGGTCCCGCCCACTCACCGGTCCTTCTCTTCACTTCCAAGCCGATGTTGACACCTTCATCAATAAAGTCCACAACTTTCCGGAAGTCATCCTCGCGGAACTGTCTTGAAGTCAGAGCTGGGGCCCCTGGGGAGGCAGAGGAGGATCAGCACAGCCCAAGCGCACCCGGCAGCCACCCTTCCCCCCTGGTACCCCAGGTCTCACCAAGCCGCAGGCCCCCAGGTGTGATGGCGCTTCGATCTCCAGGACAGGTGTTCTTGTTGGCCGTGATGGATACGAGTTCCAGCACCCGCTCAGCTCGAGCCCCATCCAGGCCCTTGGGCCGCAGGTCTACCAGCACTAGGTGGTTGTCAGTGCCACCTAAGGGCGGGCAGTAAGCGGGAAGTGCTGAGTCCTGGGCCTCTGCCCGAGGTGACAGAGGCTCTCAGCAAACCCCACGGCTCACCAGACACCAGCGAGTAGCCTCGCTCTAGCAGGGCGTCAGCCATGGCCCGCGCGTTCTTCAGGACCTGCAGGGAGTACTCCCGGAACATGGGGGTGCGGGCCTGGAGATAAGACAGCGACACTGTCACCTTAAGCCCTGCCCCTTCTGTTCCTCCACCCCCAGCACAGTTGTGACCCCATCCCAGTCCCCTCCCACCCTGGCACTTCCCTTCCGCCAGCTCCAACTTCAGGTGCAGGGTCTGAGCCTCCAGGCCCCGCCCCGCCCACCCCACAAGAGTAGGCTCCTTTACCTGCTTTAGGGCCACAGCCACTGCAGCAATGGCATGGTTGTGGGGTCCCCCCTGCAGGGATGGGAACACAGCAAAGTTGATTCGGTCCTCAAATGTGTAAGGGATCTCTTGGCCAGTCTTGGGGTCCACAGCTCGCACCCCCTTCCGGAAGAAGATGAGTCCTGACCTGTGTGGGAGATAGATGATCAGAATCTAAGGTGAAAAGAAAGGGCAAGGGGGTGGGAAGAGCAAAGGGCCCGACCCCTGCGGGCTATCAGAGTCCAACATAGTTGTGTTTGGTGCCCTGGACTCCAGGGGTTGAGGGGAGGAGCCCTCACCTCCACCCCCAAACCCTCAGCCATGGAATTGCCACCATGGGCAGGAGAAGAACTCTCATAGACATGGCTTCAGGTAGGAATGAGTTCCTCTCTGCCCTGGAGGTGGGGCGTGAAGGCAGGGAGAGGCAAGTCCTGACCTCAGGGGAGCCTGACCTGGCCCCTCGAAGGGTCTTGTGAGTGGTGGTGGTGACAACGTCCGCATGCTGGAAAGGTGAGGGGATCACCTTGGCAGCCACCAGGCCACTGATGTGGGCCATGTCTGCCAGCAGGTGTGCCTTGACCTCATCACACACCTGGGCGGGTACAGAGACAGGCCTCAGCCTGGGGAGGGCCCACACAGGCCTGCCCCAGGCTGTGCCTCCTCCAGAATCTCCCCACCACCCCTGAGGGAGGGCCGTGCTCCAGCCCTCCACCAACCTCTCTCATGCGGGCGTAGTCAATGAGGCGCGCATAGGCACTGGTACCGGCTATGATGAGTCTTGGTCGGAAGAGCCGAGCAGTGAGTGCCAGCTGGTCATAGTCAATGAGGCCGGTCTGGGGCTGGACAGACAGAAAGCTAAAGCAGTAAGGAGAAAGTGGGCAGCTCCTCACAGCTCCCTCCCCACACCCTAGAGCACTCACATTCAGTTTATAGGGCATAGACTCGAAGAAGATGGAAGTGGCGGAGATCCGCTTGACATCAGACATATAGCCATGGGTGAGACTGGGAGGGGAGAAGAAAAAGTCAGGTTCAGAGTGGAATAACTCCCAGACTTATCCACTCCCTTCCTGCCCCACTCCAAAGGCCTCGGTCCCTGGAACACAGCTCCCAGCAGGTACCACCCTCATTGCTCTGTTCACCCTGTGCCAGGTGCTGATTACTAGGGTCTTATCGTCCTCATCCACTGTAAGTTGCAGGACAGGGAAAGGCCTGTTCCATCTGCACAGAGCACAGTACATGGTTCCACGCCCACACTGCCCAGAAGCCCATCACCCACCCCATCCATACTCACTGGCCCCCATCAGGCAGGTCCAGCCCCATTATTCGGTCATGAGGCTGCAGAAGAGCTGTGTAGGCAGCCAGATTGGCTGGGGACCCAGAGTAGGGCTGGACATTGACTCCCCACTGTGCAGGGTCCAGGTCAAAGGCCTCCAAGGCCCGGCGCTGACACAGCAGTTCAATTTCATCCACTACTTCAGCTCCCCCGTAATATCTGCAATGGGATGGGGGCATATCAAGGCACAGAGAAAGGGATCCACCATCCCCCTGGATCAGCAGCAAAGGACTGGGAAGGCGACTCCTCTATACACACTAGGAGGGTGCAGGCAGGTGTCCCCCACTGGGAGCACCATCCCTGAGGCTGTCCTTCAGCCTCCTGGTGCCTAGCCCTCACCTCTTGCCAGGATAACCCTCCGAGTACTTGTTGTTCAGACAGGACCCCAGGGCCTCCAGCGCAGCTCGGCTGCAGAAGTTCTGGGGTGGGGGAGGGGCAATGTCAGAAGGTATTGAGCCCCCTTCCCTGGACCCCACAGCTCCACCCTGCTAGAGCCCCAGGCCACAAGGAGGAGCCGGGTTCTGCAGAAAGCTCTGTTCATTTAGGGTTCCTTGCCAGGCCTGGGGCAGAGCCAGAGGCAGCATCCTCAGAAATCCTGCTGCTGTGATGTGTGACAGGTCCCCAGCAAGGCCACCTGTCCACTCAAATCTGCGCTTCTAGGCTCCTCTTCCCTCCTGAGATGGAAGAGGGACCAGACTAGAATGCAGGAGCCCCAGAAGGCTCTGGAAGCTTTTGTTTTTTAAACATTTCTTATTGATTTATAATCATTTTACAATGTTGTGTCAAATTCCAGTGTAAATCTGGAAGCTTTTTAATGCCCCCATCCCATAATCCAGTCTGGCCCTGCCTTTGCTTCAGATGACAGTAAGAAGAGAATGAGATGAGGCCCAACAGGAAGGCCCTGAGTCTGAAAGGGAGAGCTGGAGAAATAGCAGGAAGATGAGCTGTTACTTCCAGCACCCACAGTGGCCCAAGCCCTGGCCCCTCTCCCCAGGCCTCACCTCTGAGGCAATGAGCTCCAGGCCACGACATTGCCTGTCCTTCTCTCTCCGCAGTAGCTCCCACATTTCAGGATCACTGTCTGATAGACTCTCCTGGCCTGACCAGCCCCCAGTTGCTTCTCCAGTTGGAGTCTGGGCTGCTTCGCTGTGCTGGCACCTTATGACCATCCCGACCAGCTGACCACATCTCTGCAGAGGCTAGGGGAGGAAAAGCCAGGGTCAAATAAAAACTGCCCAGACAAAAACATTCAACAACCCTCAGCCATGCTCATCAGGCCCTCAGGCTCCATATCCAGCAGCCAGTTGTCTAGTCAGTTTGTTCTAGTTCTTACCACCCCCACATTCACTTTCAAAAGTCAGTTCTAGAACCAAGGTTGAAATCAATGTCCAGGGGGTGGTTTTGATTCGGTCCATTCACCTCACCTCAGAATCTCCCTCCACCTTTGCCCATGAACCACTCTGAAAGCATCAGGGAAAAGTCTGTCCGCTAGAAGCATATGTGTCTGAACAGGGGCAGTCCCCACCCACAGGAACATACAGTTTTCCTGCAGAGGCTTCAGAGGATACCCCTGCAGGGGGCAGTGGGGAGGTGATCAAACTGGCAAGGGTTAGGGCAATGGCTGTACAGGTGATTTCCAGAGCAGTGGATGTGGGTAGGTAGCCTTTAGCAACCCCTGGGGAAGAGGTTGGGGGTGGAGGGACTGTTGGCAGGGAAGCCAGAACCCACATCTTGTACTTTGGGCTCCCCACTCTTTGCACCTCCTTCCAGCCCACAGAGTCACAGGACCCCTGATGCAAGCAGGAGTGCACAATTGCATCATCTGCACGGCTCAGAGCTCGCAAGACTCAGCTCGCCAGTCCAGGCCAGGAACCCCACTCGTGGGCCAGCATAGGTCCCCTGGGGGCATCCAGTGCTGTTTTCTTCCCTAACGCCACGTCAAACGGGCGGTCACAAGGCCCTGGGGCGTCTGGTTCCCGTAATGGGGACGGGCCCCAATCATCGTGTGCACACTTAGGGTCTCAGGGATCCCCTAGTTGCACATCCTCCTTCCGCTCCCCCAAGACACAGACCACGTGCGTGGAAAAGCCAAGAGAACCCCAAGTTTGTGACTGGAAGCTAGAGTAGGAAGGGAGCTTACTTTCTACTGATCACCCAGTCTCCAGAGCCTCGTTCTTACCCGAGTCGCCCAGAACAAAGAGAAAGGTAGCATCGCAAACTGAGGTCAAGGCCGCAGGAGGTCGACGCCGCAGGAGGTTGAGGCACCAACTCCGGCCAGGGCAAGTAAGGGGTTGGAAGAAAACTGACAGAGGGCGCATGCGCGAGAAGAGCTACCAGGAAGCTACCGAACTAGGGAGGGGCCTACGCATGCGTGAGCTAGTCCCTTTATATGGTCTTTTGGGAATTGTAGTTTCCGCCCCCCCCTTCTTCCGTTTCATTTCCCGTCTACAGCCCCACGGTCAGAGGCTTTTGCCTGAAAGAAAAGAGATCCAGTGCCGCCCCATCTCCTCACTGTCCTGAAGCTCTTCAGGGGTATTTTTTTGTTTCGTTTTGTTTTTGATTTTCCTGTCTGTTGTCCATACTGCAACCATTCACTGGGTGTCTACTGAGTACCTAGCCTTATTAGGCTCTCTTCCTATACAAGCTAGAGAGCTCTGGTGCACTGGAAAGCACCCTGGTTTGGAAGAGTGAGGGACCCGAGTTCAAGTTTCAGCTGTGGGAAATTAACTAGCAAATTAACCTCACTTGTAACTCAATAATAAAATAACATATGGTGGGGATTAAATGAGGCTGTGTGTGTAAACATGCTCTGGGATGAATTGTCCCTCCTCATCCTCCCAAACCTGCCTCCTCTGTGGCCATCCTCTCCTTCCCTGGGACATCTGGGAGCTGAATGAGGTGCCCCCTTCCTGTCCTTGCACATGTTGAATTTTGCTTTGTGTTGGGTACCTATTCACCATTGCTGCCCCAGCAATCAGTGAGCTTTCTTTGTACCCTGGGGCTATAGATCTTTGGAACTGGAAGGGATATTCCCTCTTGCCTGACTTATCTAGACTCATTCTTTGGGCAAGGGACTCATGGATCCCTCCAGGAGTAGATCCCCAAACCTAGGCAGCAGAACTGACTGGGAAATGTGACATAAATATATGAGCCTTTCCTCAGAAGTTCTAGTTCAATGGCTTTTGCCCACTCACACTGACACACAACAAAACCTCCCCTTGGTGATTCTAATAAGCCAGTGGTTTTGAGAACCATTGCCTTACATAGCAATATTACATTCATTCATTCGGCCGATATATTGAGCGCCTTCACCATGCCCGGCATGCCATAGCCTTGGAGGTATCAGAATAGATCACTGATGGCTGGGACATCAAGAGGTGAAGGGGTACAGGTGGGTATGGCTCATGCTTAGCATGCATAAGGTCCTGGGTTCAATCCCCAGTACCTCCATAAAAAAAAAAAGGTGAACAGGTAACAAAATGCAAATGCAACAAGTGCAGTTACAAGTAGGGGCACCTCATTCTGCTCCCAGATAGCCAAAGAGGAAGGGGAGGAGGAGGAGAGGATGGCAGAGGAGGAGTCAGGTTTGTGAGTCAGAGGAAGAGGAGGAGGACAATTAACTGCAAAGCCTGTTCACTTGCAAAGTCTCATTTAATCTTCAGAGCACGCTATTTTATTATTGCTTTACAAATGAGGAAACTGAGGCCCAGATGGGCTAACTTGCTAATTCCAGTCTTTCCAGTTGGCTCTCATATCAGACCTTAGAAGCTCCACCCCCTCCACCCTAAGCTGTAACCTCCTTCTCTCCCATTCCAGCCTCAGGTGTTTTCGGGTCTTTCCAGAAATAATAGGCTTGGTGCTGGGAGTTTGCTAGGTTCTTCTCCTTCCTCCAATCTCTGACCGAGAACTGCTTCCCACCTCCCTCCTCCTTTCAGTTGATACTGTTATCCATCCATCCATCCATCCATCCATCTATCCGGTATGTATTTTCCCCTTACCGACTTTTCCCTCCCAGGCCCGTCTGTATCAGACTCACCTCCGACTCAGTTTCCCGCTGGAGCCAGTAGGCAATCCTCAGGAGAACACTGCCCTCTCCCAGGCGTACCTTCACCCAGGACTCAAGGCGAAGGAAGGCTGAAGACGAGGTGTCGTTCTGTGCCTCAGCTTGTCGGTACATCCTCTCTCGCCCCAGTCAGGGGTCCCGAGGGGAGGGGGGGCGGCTGAGCTTGAGAACTGCTAATGAAGCCGCAGCCAATTAACACTCGGGCCAGGGTTGGGGGCGGATAAAATTATCAGCCGCGTCTGCAGGAGGGAGCTGGAGGCGGGGGTGGGGAGGGTGGGCAGCTGGCTGAAGGGGGCCTTGTTTGTGTTTGCAGAAGGCAAGCAGCAGCGGCGCGGCCCGGCTCTCCAAACTCGAGCTTGTCCCTTCCCCCACCCCCTCGTCTCAGGGCTCCTTCCCTCCCTCCCCCATCCGTCTGCAAACTCAGCGCCCACGAAATTAGGAGGGAAAAGGAAGATCGATGACTCCAGATGCCGCAAACACCGTTTCCCCTCCCCCCCCACCTGCCTCCTCCCGCCAGCTCCGCGGAGCTTAGCAGGTTGTCAGCGCTCTGCCTACGCTGTCCCTGCACCTCCATCCCATTCAAAGCCTTATACCTCCTCCCCCAAGTAGTCCCAAATAGTCCGCTGGTGGTCCCCTTTCAGGTCTAATCCCCATTCTATTTGCAGCAGCTTCACATCGCCCACACCTGGGAGGAAAATCCTCACCCCAGGCAGGGCTCTTATCCCAAGGGTCTCCTCCACGTGTATCTGATGTGGTCTTGGATGACCTCCAAGGTGCTAGCTCTGTCAATATTTGCCTCGGTTTCCCCAGGAGCCGCGGTGGGAGGAGGCCCTGGCCAGACATAAATCCACACCACCACCCCACTTCCCTACAAAGGTCTCACACAGACGCCTATTGGATTTCACTTTATTTTGTTCCCTTTCCCGTCTGTTTTGGCGTTAAGTAAATAAATAAAATCACTGAGAGGAAGCAGCCGGAAAGGTGGAGCAAGACGGCAGGGACAGGAGGGAGGCGGGCAGAGGGCAGGGGCCCGAGTCAATCGCCTTCGCCCAGGAGTTCTGCTTCTGCTACCCTAATTATTGGAGTTTCGGGGAACGGAAGGGACTGGCATACGGCAGGCAGAAGGATAACGGGATAGGCTGCGGTTTACAAGACCTTATGGTCTTTACATGGGCACAGGGTGAGGGACAAGCGCCTGGGGGTAAGGAAGTCACGGCGGAATGAGGGGGTAAGGAAGTCACGGCGGAATGAGTGTGTCAGGCCGGGCGTTATTAAAGCTGCGGGCAAAGGGAGAATCCAGCCCAGCGCCAGCGGCGTAAAGTGGACTCAGTGTGGACGCAGGGGACGCTGGGACCGCCTCCAAGCCCCACCTATTCTGTAGCTTCGCTCTTTCCCCTTCACTTTGGGTTGTTCTGTAGTCAAGGGAGCTACCTTCAGCCTTGTGGGCACCCCCATAGGGAAAAGGGGGCGCTCGCCAGCCGATGGTCCCTGGGAGGGCTGTTTCTCTCCACGCCCAGGCTGGAAGTTGTGGATGTGGGCACAGGGAGGGGTCCCACTTAGGGAGTTGGGGATTTGGCGGGAAGCTCAGGGCCGGGCGAGGGCGGGTCGCGCTATCCAAAGTAGGGGTGCTCGCTCTGGAAGTTATAGTCTGGGCACACCTTCTGCACCAGTTTGTAGTCAAAGCTGAGAAAGGAGACGAAAATGCAGATGACTTTGAAGGGCTTGGCACAGAGCCAGGCGGCCTGGCTCTGCGTGTGCTCAGTGAAGCACACCTGCGATGGGTCGTACAGGCACGGGCGGTGCTTGCGCGCGCGGTTCGTCTTCTCATACTCCACGTGGCAATTGAAAGCGCGTGACTCTTTGGCCCCGG